TATATATATATATATATATATATATATATATATATATATATATATATATATATATATATATATATATATACATATAATATGACACTAGGCATTTTTAGAGATCACCGACTGAATAAATAATTACCGTTATCAGTAATTCAGTATATTAAACATTTCTGATTGACTCACTGCATCATATTTTAAAGATAAAAGACCATAAGCAGCATCTCAACCCTAAATAATACCTGCAATCTTGATTTACATTAATAAAGAAGGGTTTATGTAACCGGTCGATATTTTTTAATGTTCAAAAGAGGAGAGAGGAGAATATGGGCACTATTAATATTCTTCAGTCTTAAATCTTAGCAATTTTTTTTTAAAAAAAAGAAGATGAAAAAAAAGAATATATATTTTACAATCTTCAGTCCTCTATCTATTGGTATTTTCTGGAAGCCACTCAATGACAGGTATTTGGTATCCTAAAGGAAATTTTCCAGGCTTCCCATGGATGTTACAGAGTTGGGCTACAAATCTGGAAACCCATCACATCTGACTTGCCAGAAAACCTTTGTCAGTCTTTTATGGTTTTACCAACGTTATGATAACAAAACATTGATTCAATTGGCTACTAACGAATAAATTTTAAGTGCTTAATTCATATAGCCATGCATGGTAGCAAATGGTTTGATGATTCATCAATCATTAAAAAACAAGCCAAAAACAGCAACAAAAAAAAAGGCTAGCTTAAAAGCTCAAAGGAAGCACTGCAACATGGATATCTGAATGTAATGCTGGAAACAGACTCTCAGATTACTGCTGACTGTATTGAGAAAAGGAATTCTCCACCTTAGGAGATATGGAACATGTTCAGGAATATACAAAGTCTAACTGGCCAGATGAACAATTTTTCTTGTAAGCATTGCTATAGGGAATGCAATCAGGCTGCTGCTGTTAGGGGTCAAACTATGAGAGCTGATATGTTTTGGAAGGAACAACTTCCTTTGGATCTAGCATCCTTTTTTTTACTTTTGAAATACATATATAGTTCTTTTCCTTTTGCATAAAAAAAAGGGCTCAACAGAAGATTTGTGTAAAGGCAGTTTTAGCATGTATGTGTGTGGTTACTTAGCACATAAAGTACAATTGTAGTATCACATGGATTTCATACAAATCCAAAATGTCATAAGGATGCAAGTCAAAAACTAATGAGAAGAATATAAATTGGGAAACTTGATCAGCCTACCATCTTTTTCCCACTCTGCTTTTCCTCTCCTCAGTAATGGAACAAGTTAGGTATCAAGAGAGTTGACATGTGTACTAATATACTCTAGCCATGAAGTAAAAGATTGAACCTTGGACACCTAGTGTGCCTAGAAAAATCTTACCATTCTCTGGGATGCTTACGAGACTTCTATGAGGCCCATCAAGACAGTAAAATCAGTAATATTACACACATTTAATACAGTAAAAACAGTAATATTATTTGACAGAAGTATTTGTTTCTAGTTAGTGTAACAAATTTATGTCCATTATGTCATAGTATATTTTTTCAGCATAAAGCACAAGAACTGTACCTGAGTCTCAGGACAACCATCCTGTGATCCAAATTGCCTACGAACTGCGCTATACCTCACAGCAATGCACACAGCTCGAGATAGAGCCTTAGATGCATCAGAGACAATTGTTTGACGGACATAAACCATTGTACCGTACAAAAGCTGCCTTGGGACATCAGATTGCACAAACTTCCCTTCCCTTGTGACTTGTGAAACCCTGCAACAATTTTAATAATCAATTGATGTTTCACTTTTTAGCTAGCAGCTTACAGGTTTTATATTATAGTTTCAACATTGCAGCACATTTTTATCACTCTAGCAAATTAAAAGAGTTAGTCGAATCTAGAGAGGTTGATCTTCCCTATAGAGAGCGAAAAGAGGAGACAGCAAGGGAAAGTGGGAAACAATAGTTTTTTTACAAATATAATGCTGATTAGATATGACAGACAAATCAGACGTTATATCCAACTCATGGTACAAAGTCAACCAATAATCTGGATATGACAAAAAAATCAACAACAAACAATCATATCTATATTCAAGAATTGGCATGAGTGAGATGGGCCAACCATTCTTGAACGACCACAAGAATGCATAAAGACAAGTGCTCTATCAGTTGCAATTATTTGGGTCTCATCTATTTAAACTCAGTCATAGGAGATGCAAAATTATACGCCTGGAGGTATATTTCTGAAAATTTTAAGGCATTTATTTGGATGTAAAATAGAGAGCCAGACATTTAATTTGCATATTAATTCTCTCTAACTAGAGTGGGTGTTCACACATAAATCCCATCGCAAAAGAAGTTTTTATAAGAGACAACTTATTGTTTCCCTCCTTTAGGTTTGAGACATTATAGTCTGCAAGACATGGATCAGCAAAAGGGTTCTAATTCTGAACAAGAGCCTTGGAAAACTACCTGATTTAAGATAATATAAGAGAAGTTATTGGTAGAGGAAAGTAGAGTAAATGAGGGCAGGATGAAATGTCATAAATCTTGCATTTTAACCCTCTTCTACCTCTTTCTCAATTGCGCTTATGCCTACTTGTATTTCCAAATAATTTTAAGCATGCAATCTAAATGACCCCTCTTCTCTTCCTTATTCCTAGGACCTAGGTTCACGCCAAAATTTTCCATGTTAGGCAAAGTTCCACATCAACATGATAACTACCAACTACAGAAAATATTGACATGCTCTTAATGTCATCCAGCACAAATTGCTGATAAAAATATTATTTTGTCATGCCAACGTACCAAGCAATGTAGTATCCTCATATTATACCGTCTTGTTACAACCACCTAATAAGATGCCACATGCACAAAGAAAGAAAGGTTAACCTTGTGTAGTCCAATAAGGACAGTGAGAAGAAAATATTATTATGGCAAACACGTAGGTTATGCCGCCACTGCCCACCAGTGAGACAAGCAACACAAAGGAACTATACCTAATTCGGCACAAAAAGATCTAGCAAACAGGCTAAACAATCACATACAAAGGGGCTGTAGCCCCGATGATCAGCTAGCACTTTAATCGAACAGAAAGTGAGTCCACAAAAGAGGTTGTGTCACCCCACAGACTTATAACCAAGGTTCATCTAGCCTTGTGACACCCAGTGGTTCCGGTTGCTAAGATGACTAATTTTTCAGACCACAAGGCTGTCAGTTTAAGACAGTAAATGAGGTTGTTTTGATAAGTTTCCTCTCTGCGTGATGTGCTCAGCTAACTCTGCTAGTGAGGTTTACAAACAAGAAAATCAAAGCAAACAGGCTGTAAAACCTAGCAAAATGAGTCTACAAAGGGTACTGCATGCCCGGTACAAGCTAACTATATGAAAAACAGTTCAAAAATATGAAAAAGCAAGAACACCACATGAACAAGAGTTGTCGTCACTCATTGCTGCCCGAGTGCCTTGCTTCTTGTCCAGGCGGCATGCTAAAGAGGCGCCGCCTGGGCGCTCGCCCGAAGCGTCCAACGCTTGGGCTCGGGCGAGCACCCGAGTTAAACCAGGCGACCCCAGTGCTTTAGTTGGTTCGATCAAACCAACTAAAGCACCAATATCAGCCTCCCAGCATCCCTCTCTTGACTTCCCTAACCCTAACCCTGCTCGCGATTCTACCACCAATATTTCTTCTCCATTGTCGCTGCCTCTCTCCACTGTCGTTGCCTCTCTCCGCTGTCGCTGCTCTCCGCTGCCACCATCGTTGCCACCGTCGTTGCTCACTGCCACTGTCGCTACTTGCCGCTCCTGCTCCCGCTGTCGTTGCTTACTGCTACTGCTACCGTTGTCGCTGCCACTATCGCTGCTCGCCGCCGCTGTCATTGCTTGCCATTCTCATCGCTCCCGTTGCCGCTTCTCGCCGCTCACCGCTACAATCTTACACTTACTCTTCTCACATCGACTCAATAACAGAGTCTCAATTTCGATATGTACCACCCGGAATGGGCGGTACATATCGGTCCGAGAGGATACGGTACGTAGATCGTCCTCTACCGGGTCGTACCAATGTTTTGACCAGTACCGAGGCGTACCGACCGGTACCGAGGCATACCGACCGGTACCACCTCGGATTTCAACTGTTACCGAGGCATACCGATCGGTACGCCATGGGGTGGTAGGTGAAGGTATTTTTAAGGTTTTAGGATGTACCATCGGTATGCCCTAGTGTACCAACGGTATATATCGATACGTACCGTACCACGCAGAGCTCGGTATGCCAATACAGACCGGTATTCATAACCCTGCTCGATAGTATACTAGTAACAGTATACTGATAACTGTATATTAGTAACAATATTTTTTATTTATTATATTAATAAAATATTATTTTGATTTTCATACTGATAATTTTTATTTATTTGAAATTATTATTATTGACTTATTGTTTTGAATTTTGAGACTTTTTGTTAATGTGATATTGTGATTTTACAATATTTTCTTAATTTAATATCATATTTTATTTAAATAATTATATTTATTAATTATATTATATATTTTTATATTTTAGTGCCTCACTTCGCTCGGGCGAGCGCCTAGCGCCTCAAACATTTTAAATCACTGCGACTAGCATTGCAAAGCTATGACAACATTCCATGCAGCCCAATGCCTCTATCAATTTTTTAAACTATTTTAGAGTGCCTCCTTTTTTTTTCTCCTTATCCTCCAATGCTTCTCTCTCTCCCTTATTTTTTTCTCAGATTCACTCACATATCTGTTGCCCTTATTGTTGTCACCACCACTTGCTGCTTGGCCATCATCGTCCGCTGCCTAGCGCCTTGGTGCGTGACCACCATTGCTCATAGTTTGGCTACCACCCAATGCCTCACCACTGCAACCCTGCTACCTCGTTGCCACCACCCAACAGCGGTGCCTTCGTTGTTGCTGCTCTACCTAGTATCTGATATTTCTACTTCATCTCCTGTAGTTCTCCTCCACCTTTTTTCTCCCCTTCTATCAATCCTCTTGCACCTTTTCATCCTCCTTTGCGTTTTTTCTGCCCCTTCCTTCTCCTCTTGCTCTCCTTCTCCTTCTCCTTCTCCTTCTCCTTCTCCTTCTCTGCTCCTCTCCCTTTTTCTATTTGGCATGTGTCAACTGGTATACCGATGAACCATGTTGATAAGCTGATATGTGCTAGACCTGTACCAGTTTGGCCAACGGGTTACAGGTCTTGGACCAAACCTAAAACCTTGGATAGAATTATCCATTTCATGGTGCAGTTTAAGTTCATCCCAGACTAGAGCAAACTTCCAAAGTTCTCTTAAGAAAAATACTTCTTAATGCATGGACCAAATGTGCACAAGATGAGACTTACCACAAGAACATCACAAATCTACTTTCTTGCTCTTTTGCCTGAAGGATATTATTTCACAAGAAGCCTTGTTTTACCAATTGATGTGCAAAACTTGTCATTTTCCCACTATACAATATCCTCATATAACTATCATCCTTCTATGCATAATTAACACCATCAAAATCACTATTTCCAAAATATTTTACATAAGGTTTGTAATTTCAGTATGTACAGGCATACCGAGCCTTGCTTGGTATGGTACGTACCGAGGCATACCGACGGTACACACAGCAATATGCGGCATATGCCTAAAATAGCTGAAAACAGTAATACATATTGTATCAGTGTTTTCAACTATTTTACTTTTTTAGTTATTTTAGCTAAAATAGTTAAAAGGTTGATAACAGTCGAAATTGACCATTATCATCGCTTGGTACAGGTTGGTAACGATTAAAATTTCAACCGTTATCACCTGACACAACCTCGTACCGCTCGATACGGAGCCAAAAATTTGGTACCGGGTGGTCTGCGTGCCGAGAGACTCTCGGACCGATACGTATTGTCCATACCAGGTGGTACACATTGAAATTAAAAACCATGATTTTCAACAACATAAAAGTTACTAGTTAGTTCTCCCATATGATGACAATTAACAAAACCTTTAGTAGCATAGACCACTTAAGAAATAAGGATCACAAAGACACATGGATGTCAAATAGAGAGAAGTAACCACTTGAGTATGTTTTAAAGAAAATTTTGAATTATGTCAAGAGTTTTCCAACTTCAGTGCTATTTAAACTAACAAATTTTTCCAAAGAGATTGTCAACGGGGAATGCTAATAGTGTCAATAGGATTGGCATGACAAACAAAAGCAGTCAGACATTAACATGTATTTAAAGAAAATGGAAAAGAAAGCTTGGAATGAGAAACAACCACACTTTTGCTACACATACATGTGCAAGAAAACGAAACAAGTACCAACAAAAATAATGGCTATCCTCTACATAACATAAATCAAATGAAGAAGAGGCATGACTCAACTAACCGCATCAACATTTGATTTCTTGGTATGCGCACATGATCAAACTGCAAAACACCATTATCCATTGTGTTGTATGCACCATTTCCAAATTTTGTACCAATGTCACCAACAACAATGCCAGGAAGAGGTGAGTGGTCATCCAAACTTCGTAACTGGACTATGAAACCTGGAAAGTCACGGCACTTAGTATATGATAAGGACAAACCACCAAAAATAATCTTCCAAACATGTCAAAAAATACCATTTATCCCATGATCTTTTCCATCTGTAATCAGTCGAGCATAGACAACTGCATGAGTAGAGATTTTTCCTAAACCACCAGGCCACCACTGCCAACAACAATGATGTACATTATAATCATTCAAAGATATGGAAGATAAATCTCAATAGCATTATAAACAAATTGGAAAAAGAAAACAATATTCTAATCCAAGTGTGATGATTAAATCCAAATTATTGTACATAGATTGTTTAAGGTAAAAGGGAACTATCACGAAATCTTAATGGATCTCATCAATAATCATGATGCTACTACTCACCTTGCTTGAAGTAAGTGTAGGGCTATGAATAATGAATTCATCAGTTTTGGGATCAAATGTTGCAGTTGTTTCAAGACCTTGAACATTCGAGCCATGACCGAGTTCAGTCTGTGCGTAGCATCCAATTATTTGCATCTTATAAGCCAGTGGTAACCACTTCTTTTGTTGTTCATCGGTTCCTTGTCCTTTTATGGCAGGAACAAACATTCCCTGTAGAGAAAATTCAACATCTATTAGTTGGCGAAGGCAATGTAAATAAAAGATAAGCATACATATGTTTGCCAATGACAACAGGAAAATTTCCTCGTACCAAAAGAAGGAAAAGATGAACGAAAAAACAATTACTAATTTAGCATACAGCACAAATTTAATATAAAAGCTATAGAAAATTTGAATGTTAAACATTCATAGTAACTCCCACAGGTACATCCAGCTTAACTAATCTAGCTGTCAAAAATATGCAATTCAACTCCATGAGCTGTAAAGGATGCTTAAACAATATGTCAAAGTACTACAGCAAACATGATAAATGGCACAATTGATTATAGATGACCAGTTAACATGTAATGTCACAAGCAGTAGACAATATTGGGGAAAAAAATTACTTCCAACAGCATCCATGAAAAAGAAAGTAGTAACTGGCACACAACTATGATAAAAGAAAAAGGGCCGTTTTTATAGACACGAGTATAAGCAAATCCTATAAGACAAATTGGCCGGCCAGGCCATCACTAGAGTATGATGCTTCCCACATGCTGCCAACCAGGGAAGTGGATATAGGTCGTAAAATCAAAATCAAAATTAAAAACAGAATCAGCTAGTGTCAAAAACTTAATATTAGATGGATTTACCAGGGAAAAACAAGATTATTATTGACAAAGAAATAAATTTAAATTTAAAAATCTTTTAAAAATAGAAAAAAGAAACCATTAAAAAATTATGCAAAAAATATTTATTGTATTTTATAAAATGTGAATGATATCATTAATTTAAACTTTTTTAATTAATAACAAATATCATTCAGAAGAATTTATAATAAAATGAAAAAAAAAAAAAACTAACACATTAAACATTATGCTGATGATAATTGCCAATCAAATATCACTAAATTCCAACTAAACATAATCAAGTCAACAGATTAAATCAATTTATAGGCCACAATAAAAAAGCCTACAAGTCACAGAATATTTTATTTCCAGCTGATGCCCTACTTCGAAAAATATTGAATTTCCATCTGCCGGTCCTCAACTGGATCAAAATCTGCTGATTCTAGAAACAGTTAGTGTGGATGGTCCAACAACTAAAGTGGTCAAACTTAGTTAATATATTTTGGTCTTCTTTTATAATGCCCCACTTAATCCTATATCAGACACGGATGATAGATTGTTTTGGTATACCTGGTTTCTTGAGTTTAAAAGTAGTAACTTGTCTATTGAGCCATGTGATTTAACCCTTGGAGCATCCAAAATACTGGGTTAAGGTCTGTCCAACAAATTCAGACAATTATCATGAACCTTTTGTTGAAAGCATGCCAGGACATGTAACAAACAACATGGCATCTGTCAAGGTGCAAACTTGGGGTCTACATGCTCAACACAACATGCCAATCCAGTATATAAACTGCATTAGAGACAGAACGTATAGGAACTCAAACCATCTAGTTATTGCTGAGAACTTCCAAAGAAAATCAGGCCAAATCCATGACCCTCAATTTCCCAAGGATAAATTGAACTTGGAGTCATTCATTACTGAATCTAAATCATCTGTTTCTCAAAGTCAAACTTGATTAGCTTCAATCACTTACAATCAATTACTGATTACTTCCAAAAGAAAAGTTGGCCATCTGACTAATTAATCAAACTTACTGTGACAAGCTTCAATGAGTTTCATCCAAGTTTTAGCTGGTTCAGATTAATTTTGACTGGTTTTGATTTGGTTCCGAACTTCCAATTATCTTAAAGGCATACAGGCCAAGTTCAGACTTGAAAACTACTAGTAGGATTCATGGATATCTGGCCTTGTGTTGAACAAGATCATATCAATCCTCCGTAGTCAGATCTTGATCATTTTACAAAGATCCCAAACCAATTTAAGTTATTAAAAAAATGATCTTAGGATCCAGTACAACCAATCTGAATCCCAGATTTTCTAGTTGACATGAAACTCCAAAGCCCATCTCGATCCAAAGAAGCCAAGCATAGATTTTTCAAATTAGATTGTATGTTGATAAATTCATCTCCATGAAAATACACATGAGTAGACAGGACCCAGCAACAGATTGGAGCAAGATTCACATATCCCTCATAGAACATGGGTGAATTTTGGAATTCCTTCTGATGGGGAGGGATAGGAATAGTAACTGCAAATACATCTTCAATCAAAAGTGAGGATGAAATCATTGCCAAGGAAAATAACACATAGAACCTTGAGAATTCCAGTAAAACCTACATCCGCGATACCATTAGATTCATGGATTTGGGTGATAGAACATATGTCAATTCCTAAGGCAGCAGAATTATTTTCATTTCATCTCATTTAAGATATAGAATCTCAGAAAATAATGAGCCTCTTTTTCAATCCCTAAGAAGCTAAATTTGCTACATTAGGAATCAAATAATGAAAACCCTTGTTGTTTTGTTTCACAATTAAAGATATTAGAAAGTTGAATCATAATGTATATCATATTGAGAAACAAATTAAAGAGGCTACCAAAGTACAATATAATGAACACTGATTTGTAACAAATAGTAACAAATGAGATCATTTTAAATGGCCAATAACAATATCAGCAAGAATAACATGTAATACAAGTCATGTACCCATTCTAGATGATTCTGGTACTATTCCAGAAGAACATTTAGTAGGCAAAGAGATTCTCACCCAGTGGAGATCCACATAACCAGGTTCATCCACGAAGATTCTTAACATAGAGGCTTCTTCTTCTGCACAACAGAAAATAAAATGATTACTGCACAAACAAAATGGTAAATATGTGGAAAATAATGCAAACCAAAAATTGAGTGGCTAATGTTAGCAAGTCAAAAAATCCAATTTTCTTGGGCAAATGTTAGTGAGAACCACTGTTTTCTGTTTGCCCTTTCACTTTTCTCCACCAAAAGCTTCTCATCTTGTCAATATCAGTTGCAATAGCACAGAGGAAGATAAAGAATACTGAATTGAGCAAATCCAAATATTCACCTAACAGTTCGATCATCAGAACCAGCTATGACCAAGTATGGTCACACCAATTGGCCTGGGTTGGAATATTCTGTAAGAGAAAGCATCAGTTGCTCTATGGTAACCATAGCCAGAGAAGCTAACATAGCTAGGCCAAATTTTGGCATGTGTTGTTATGCATGGGAACAAATCGAATACCGTGACAAAATTTGTTGGCACACTCCCATGCCACAAAATGGCAATACTCGATTAAGACCACAGGACTCTAAGTCGACCATTAGTTGACTCACTCGAACTCTATCAGAACTCCTGCTTGATGTCATCCATTATAAGATTTATGGGTTTTATAAGATGCAGATGAAGAAAGGTGTGAACACAGGTAAAGAAAAAGCTACAAGGATGATACACATAGCATGTAACAGACTTTCTTTTATTTCAGATTAAGTAAAGATTTCTGAAGCATCACTGTCATCTATATGTTGATTCACAAGTGCTGTAGCTTCAAAAGTTTGACTGCAGAATTGGAGCAAGTTGGTGCAACTCATTTTGTGAGAATAGAAGTTCTTGTAGTTTTTCTGGTATGCTGCAAAATTATCTAGTAAAGTATTTTTGCTAGGTTTTCAATATGTGAGTTCAACTAGAAGAATATTTGTGAAAATGTACCGAAGAGAAAGAAAGGAAATAGAGATCATGTAGTGAGGAGATGGATTGGGGGAGCATATTATCCAATTGTCACTGCACCATATAGATATGGATTGTCACTACAAGTCAACAACAAGCTACCAAGTATCATCACCTGTGTTACTTGGACACTTATCAATGGCCACTAGACTCTGGCTTAGTGTCCATTACACTGTCTTAACAACTAATGACCTTTGTTTATATTTACCATTAATTACCCTTCTTTCTCCATTATCTCTATGATTAGAAATTTGCCTCGGTCCCAGCACTGTTGTTAATCGCTTACCCCTTTTTCCTTCTGTGACTGTCCTTTTGTCTATGGGAGCCCTTTGCTTTTATCATTTCTTGTTATTTATTAACCACTCATCGGAAGTCTTTTTATACCATATACTTTCCTCCCTCGACTTCACTGGAGTCTCTTTTCATCGATCTACATGATTTTCGAAGAAACCCTATCCTATCTTGGTAGTACTATACCACGCCTCAACTACTTTCTTGTCAGGTTTTCAGACAAGGGGCTTGGCATCTTTAAGAAAAGAAAGGTTAAAATTATTCCTAGGACTGAGGTGATGACCAAAAATTTTAGGCCAAGAAAGCACTCATTCAAAAATAATGCTATCCACAAAAACATTTACAAGCATTTTAGCTGTTAGGTTAGAGACATAGTCATGTTAGTCATATATTTAATATTGCAAAATAGAGGTTGAAGAGCTTTAGACAAACAAACTTCGAAAGAAATAAAAAATACCTGTAAGGCGTAGCTCATTAATGCGCCTCCACGCATGAGCAGCTTTTCTTAGCGTGTTCTTGAACAATTCCTTCCGCCCAAGCATCATTCTATCATCTTTTTTAAATACCTAAAAAACAACATGAAACTTCTCAAGATTGATTTATAATAATGCTTAAACATTCTAGAAAATATGCATGCACATAAAAGTGCAAAAAGATTTGAAAAGTGATTAACAAAGCTTTATAAGAACAAAATCAATGTGAGTCAAAATAAATTACTTCAGATAATAGATTATCTGCCCACCTAGGCAACTGTCAGATTGTAATGACATACAAACATCCAATTATACATAAGTGCTACTTTAGGCAAATGGGCAGTAGAAAGATGTTTACATTTTTAGCACAAAAATAAAGGGACCATTTAAATAGGCACTCAATGCCATAAATTTATTGAACTATAATGATCTAATTAATGGGCTTCCATACTCGTCAAACAATATCAATGCCCATTAATGGTAATTGGATCCTAGTGAAGATACTAATTTTTTCCCTAAATTTTACAACCATATCAACGATTAGTATTGCATTCATTATGTTGGTATATTTAATTATTTCCGCTATGATGCTCTTATAGTCGCAGAGGTTACAGTTGCTAGTTTGCAGAACCATACTAGGATCTAAAACAAGCTATGCGAAGTGATGTAAAGAACAAACGTCGCATATTTTCTTCGCAATTCTTCTTGAGGAACAATCTTGATGAATTCAATATCAGATCGAGATAATTTGGGGTAAAAAATTGCAGGATGTGATGTCCTAAGGAGTAAGGACGAACCTAACAGATTATTCAATTTTTTGCCGACGGTTTGCTACAGAAAAACAAATAAGGAAATAAATTAGGCGAATATATCAAGAGAAGAACGGGCGAAGAAAAGGGAGGGAGAAAGAAGGAGAGCAGACCGGATCGCTGGCGACGAGTCGGGCCATGCGGTCGGCGACATCGACGGCGTGCTTGGAGCCGGCCCAGGCGATCTTCATCGCCTCCACGTCGAACTCGGCTCTGATGCGCTCGTGCGCCAGGTGATCCACCGCCGCTCCCTCCATCCTCTTCCGCTCGCTCGACGATCTCTCCTCTCTCCTCTTTCTCCTCCGCCCCAATTGAATAAGCCCAAAGCTACTCTCCACCTCTACCCCGCTCTGTCAATCATTATATGCAAACACGGAAACCCATCGGGGTTCAACGACCGATGAATCTCTCAACTAAACACTAACCCAAATCGTGTACCTTCCATGTGAATGGAAAAGATAGTAGGGCCCACGTGGGTCCCTTTGTTGTCTTCTTTGGATCTTTACGTATCTTTTCGTCCGCCTTTTAATGCCTCTTCAACGTTGGTTTTGGGTACGCGACAGCCACGTCACTTTCGACCGACCGACGAGGTCAGTTGTAGCCCGCCAATTACTACCACGTGCTTTATCTGCAACCCGATCAGATCACGTTTTGACATTTTACTAAATCAATATAATTATTTAACGCCACCATCTCATTGGATATTTGCACTACGTGTTTCCTTGTGGAGAAATTTTGCCAACTCAATAGGAACTTAAACCGACAATTATGTCACCTTCGGGGATAATTCCGCCACGTATGTGTCATTAGGTGGCAATTCTGCCACCTCAGCCACTACATTAGTAGGAAGTGTCATCAAGCAGTTGTGCCACTCCAACAACGTCCCACTTACATAGTGTAACTGTGCCACCTAAGTAGATCGTTGCGTCTTGATAACTGTCCCAACTAACCTAACCATCGAGTTAAACTTTCTAACAAATAAGATTCGAAAGTGACAGACACTAAATTGACATCCCAATCTATCTAAATCGGCATAAAAAATATTTATTGAAATTTCACATATTATTATTGGGTCATAATATTTATTATATATTCATATCATCACACGTAAAGAAAGTTAATTTAGGAATTTGAGTATTAATTTTAGGACAGAAATATTTCTAGCGTTCATTAATAGTATAAACTAATTTGAGGCGTTGATGGATAAAGCAAAATCTGTCCCTTAAATAATACTATCTGGTAGTGTATATATTTTATCTGCAGATTCATGTAAATCTACAGTACCGCTATTAGCTCCTAAGCAACTGCGGAAGTAATTTTGATGTCGGAGCTATTGCTGTAGGTCGAATCTTCAGCGATCTCAAGGACGGATCCCTACGAGATGTCCTGCGTTGCCAGCACACAAACACACATATGTCACTCTGTTCGTGGCGGCCTGGGGATGCAGACCGTGCACGCAGAACGAAGACGACACAGAGAAGACGAACCAGGAAATCAAAAGTACAGAAGTAAGTCCACCACTAAACGGCCGGTTAAAGCAGTCGGACGACAAACATGTAGAGATGAAGCAGCAGACAGTAACTGGAAGACAACTCGTTGCACTCGTGATGCACGAGTGTGTTCACGTGGAATCCGGAGGAGCGTAGTAGTAGGAGTCCGAGGGTGAGCTCCAAAGAGTCGCAAGTTGCGGCGTTACCGCTGTTGAGGTTGTAGAGCCGGTGCTGCTCGTTCACATGGAATCCGGAGGAGCGTAGTAGTAGGAGTTGAGGGTGAGCTCCAAAGAGTCGCAAGTTGCGGCGTTACCGCTGTTGAGGCTGTAGAGCTGGTGCTGCTCCTCTGCCAGCCGCCCTTCGCTGTAATGGTAGAAGCTCGGTACGTACTGGTTCTTGCTGTCGTCGAAGTCGCCGCAGTCTTTGGTGTTCGAGTGAGGCAGCGAGTGGTAGTAGTGTTCAGCTTCGTGTTCTTCTTTCACTGTGTTGATGGGAAACAGTTGAAGGGTTTCGATCTCTCGAGACATGGTATTTGCCACCCGATCCGAGAGGCAGTGATGCCTCCATGGCGTGGTTCCCACGCTGCTCATGCTTCCAGACATGCAATACTCCTGCTCTCGCAAGAAAGAAAACGTCAGGAATAAGAGAGAGACAAAACAGGTGAACGAAACCTGTGTAAGAACCGTGGTATTGTATTGACTAGGGTTTAAAGCCAAGCAGACTTTTCTGCCGTGGAATATGTCCTCGGATACGATGAAATGCAAGTGAGGAAAACGTCGACAATCTGACCGAATCATATGCACCTATTCTCTTTAAATATTTAATGTTATCTATGACATATGACAGATTATGAATAAGCAAGGCATAGATACTGTAATGCATGGCTTACTCTGAAGCTTGTTTCGGCGGCCGCAGCAGCATCATAAGCATCGTTCCCGCTCAGTCCAACAGCATACGACCCAGATGAACGACTAGTGGTAGGAATCCCTGCATGAATGCAACACCAAAGACGCATCGGAAATCAAGAAAGCCCGAACGTGAAGGAAAAGAATGTTCTTTTGTTTACGGTACCAGGGGAGACGACAGCGGAACTCTTGTTGCTGCTGCTGGTGGTTGCGGTGATGTCCACGGTGAGCCTCTTCTTCTGTCTCTCCCGGGCCTTGTGGTTCTGGAACCAGTAAAAGACGTTCTTCCCTTCGATCTTGCCGTACTGCCGGAGCCTGGCTGAGATCCTCTGGATCTGCTCCGCGTTCGGGGACCGTAGGCCATTGTTGTAGTAGAGGTCCCTCAGTATCCTGATCTGATCGCTTGTAGGGATCCACCTCGTACTGGACTGCCGGCAGAGAAAGCTGGCTTTGCTCCCTCCACCCCCACTCGAACAGCTGCCGATGTTGCCATCCTCCTGCAGCAACTGCTGCTGCTGCTGCTGCTGTTGATAATGTTGTGGTTCCATGAACGCTGATCACTAGGAGACCGAAGAGGCTGGACGGATGCTGATGAAGTGAAGTGAAGTGAAGTGAAGTGAAGCCCGAGGGGAGTATTTGTAAGGGATGAGAGCTGGGAGATTGAGAGTGTCAGATGGATATCTTTTAGAGAGGGACTGAAGCTGACAGATGGGAACTTGAACAGGGAAGGGTACAAAGAGGGTGTAGAAAGCTAGGGGTCCAGGCGCTATTGCGAGGTTGAAAAGGCAGGCAAACATAATGATTGCAGCTGATGGATGCAGCGATAGGAAGACAGACAGATTGCTGAAACCCTACTATTTTATTACGATGATGAAGTCCTGTGGGAGAAGGGAGAACGAAAAGAAGAGTAAGCTTTAGAGCGAATGAATGGGGGGAAGGAAAGAACTCCATGCAAGATGATTAGATATATATAGGTGGCTGTATCAGTTCGTAGCCACTGTGATCTGTTGCATTGCAATCCCCAATGTTTCTCGGGAACATATCATTATCATTGGACCATTGACTGGTGTTGCTTTGTTCCATCCAGTTTGCTGGTAATTCATGCTTCATATTAAACGAGATATCCTATTTATGAGAATGTACGTACGACTCACGTTTAGAAGAATGAAGTGTTAGAGCAGCAACATACTCTCCAAACGAAGATGAAGTGTCGAGTGCTCACCTACGATGATGATTTCAACAAAATATGATGAAACAAATGAACTACAACAATTGCTTTATCCAGAATGATTAATTATGATGCCATAAACAATGTTGTATTGACGATAAAAGCTCTAAAAATAAGACCTTGAAACTCGTGAAAATATATTATTTCTTTCCATTATCGTATGCCGATATCGAGCACGATATGTGGAGGATTTTGGAATCAGTAGGAGAGGATTAATACAACAAAAAGAAAAAGTAACTTTAAAGAAGATTTGGATCGCAGTTTTTTTGCTTTGGGAAACGTGCAATCCACCATGTTGACAAACACCCCACTGTTCTTACGGCTCTCTCTCTCTCTCTCTCTTTGCTGAGATGTTAGCGATTATGTTTATTAGAATGATTTATTGAGTGGATATAGAAAATTATAGCAAATGATACTATTGAAGTTCATTGTTTGGAGTGATAATATGGGTTTTCTTTTTCATGTTATTGATATTTCTTGAGGAAAAAAATACCAAAGAAAAATTGAGTTCTAATCGCGTGATGTCTAAAGTTCACATCTTCGATATGTGTTTAAGCTTTTAATATAGCTATAAATCACTTTAATTATGCTCTAATCATTTCACTAAATTTTTTTTCCTACTAATATCTATAACATTCTGTAGATATCAAAAATGGACAAAATTAAGATTGACTTATAATAAACATATGAATACATTATCATTAATTTCAGTTGAAACATTTTCATCACTAATTTAGGTTGAACAAAGTTAATAAATCAATTAACCCATTATCGTTCTTATAATTATCTGATTTAAGCTTGAGGATCTAAAAGATTTTATATTACAAACAATGACTTAATTATCCATAAATATTTTTATTCAAATTCAAAATACAATTATATAAACTTAACAAAAGTTTGAGCAACTCCAACAAAAAAACCATGCAACTTAATAATTCAACAACCATGTTGATCAAGCTGAAGATGAGAAGCAAAATCATTGGTAATATTGTGCTTTTGAGAAGAAAGTATGACAACCCACTTAATCTAATTTGATTTCCTGAATCCTAAAACATGTAAATATCTTAGAATGCCACCAAAATAGCGTCAAACAAAGAATAATTTTGTGATAGCATTTAATACATTTGGCAGTGACGCGAAAAGCAGTCATTTTTCTGTCCCCTTCTACAGTCCAAATGTACTGCACCACAAAAAAAGAAAGCAATCACTGTTCATGAACAAAAAACATGGAGATCTCGAGATCCCCTTCACATGACGCCCTAAAAGTCCTCCTCCTGTCGTAGCTGCTGCGGCTCTCTCATTCTCCTTTTACACCAGAAAGAACAAGGTGTGATGACCAAACCAAAAAGAAACAAAAGGAGAACCCTCTCTCTCTCTCTCTCTCTCTCTCTCTCTCTATATATATATATATATATCTGCAACTGAGGCTCCCAAGTTCTAGTCTTCAGATTGTGCTATATTTGCCGACGCTTCCGGGCACCGTCATGAGATCTGCCTCTCCCTATCATGCAGACGCAACGCGGCTCCTGTTTCCATCTTGTACTGGCATGGATAGGGAGGGGTGGCTACTGCATGGAGCAGCAGCTCTAGGTTTTAGCGCGCGGGCAATATTTTTCGTCGCGTAATCATCGATTGGTGTTGTTGTCACAGCAGATCCTGAAAGATTTCTCTAAGATATCACGAAAGATATGTCTTCTGCCGCTTACGGCCACCTTTCTCTCTCAAAGTGTCACAGCGCTGCCCTCCGGTTTTGACTGCACTGCGCACTGAGCAGTACTCTACTTCAGTTGAAACAGAGAGAAGAAATCCTACGTCCTCTTCTTCTGTCGTGCAAATTCATCATGCTTAGATCTCCACAAGTTTTAGCTTGCATTGTGTTGTTTCTTGCAGCATCTGTAGTTATATTGGAGACAGAAACAGGATGGACCACCAGATCTCTCGGCTTCTATGTGTCGTCTGACTCATTCCCAGTTGAGTCGGTCGCTTATGTGAGACAACATCATCATTGCTTTTAGACCTAAAAGAGAATGTCTTCAGCAGGCAGTCCTTCTCATGCCACGATCATAGTTCATCCTTGTCCTGGACAGACGAGACGTAGTACCTCCGGCAACATTAGAACTAATCCCAACTCTAATTAATCTCAAGGCTATCTATCATCACTGAATCCGATTGAGACCGCTGAGCTAAATTGTTCTTTAATGGACTAAAAACTTAATAGAACCATAGAGACAACTTGTCAATATAAGATCTTATTTTGGTAATAGAATCCAACATTAAATGTGAAAGATATCTGTTGGCAACGCCATATCCATATACTCCTTTTACTGTGGCGTCGTTTGCTCACAGAAGTCTTGCTTGTACTTTCAGAACCTCTTCTAAGAAAGACTCGGATGGACTGCAGAGGCAAGCGAGAGGGTTTTTTGGGGTCTATAATGCAAGCGATGTATGGCGAATCTGTGCGTGTTTGTGCATACATCATCGACCCTCGGGCTATTCTTCCAGCAGAGAAAACTGGTCTGATCATACTCACAGCTGCCAATGTTGCTATCTCCTTGCCGCTGCCATCGCTAGAATTCCACGAAAACCAGTTGGACTAAAAGAGTAAAGAAGGTGGTGAAGTATGGAGAGAGAGAGAGAGAGAGAGAGAGGTGTAGCAGTTTGAGTGTCAGATGGATATCTTTTAGAGAGACAGTAGGTTGACAGATGGGAACTCAAAATGGGAAGAGAACAAAGGAGAGGGTGTAGAAAGCTAGGCTGCAGTTGCAGGCGCCATTGCTTGGTGGAGAAGGCAAACACACATGCACGATGAATGAATGCTTGCTTACTTGCGGCTGATGGATGCAGGGAGAGAAATAGAGAAAGATGAGATGAAAACCCTAATATTTTTTAGCATGATGAGATGTAGATGGAAGATTGGAAGATGAGACACAGGCTGCAATCTCCATGTTTCCTCGAGAAAGGCCATGCAAGATGGTAGGTGGCAAATCGGTCAGTGTGGTGTCTGTTGCACCACTGAGATCTCCGTCGCCTCGGGAACGCATCACCATTATCATTGGGTCATTGACTGGTGGCTCCAAATGGTGATGATATGATACTCCTTACTGTCTTCAATCAAACACTCCATACCCTTGTAATTTCTTCCAACAAAAACGAAACAAAATAATCATAAGCTACCCACCAAATGTCTGATCCAAATCATAACTTTCTCATTTTACGATCAACATGATAAAATATTTATGAAAATCATATGATTATTGAATACCTTTTAGATTAAATTAATGAAATCAATGTTTAGTATAATATTTTATGGATCCAAATGTTGAACGATTAAGAAACAACACACATAATCTATTATAGATATATTTAATCTAATATTAATGTTGCAACAATAATTACGATACCATAAACACATTGGTTAGATGTTGGATGATGATCCATCGGCGAAGATAACTTCATCGTTACTCCAATCTGAATGACGGATGAATGAACACGATGAAAGCTTCCTTCTGAAGGGACTGAGTCAACATTGAGATACCACTCAAGAAGAAAGCATCTTTAGAGATGTTCTCGGTGACTAACATAGGGCACAATTGATAAAGCTCATGTTTAAGTTTGTATTGGAACAATATAAGGAGGTAACTAATGCTGGATCTCAAAAGGATCGATGTTAATATATGAACAAAAAAATAAAATATAAGCCTTAATAGTCATCAAATACCTTGAAATGAATGATCGTAAGTCCTAGCATTGCAAGATCTCTTGAATGGTAATAAAGCGTCCTTTCTCGATTGAAAGTTGAGCAGCAACGCCGATTGCAACAGATAACAGACCATCCATCAAGCTGACGGCAGGGGCATCGATACTTTCACCTTTGATCACAGATAAAAAATGCAGGTGTTCCAGGTAGCTTGATCCATGATGTAGTCCATCATACCTAGACTTGTTAAAAAAGACACATGAAAGTAAAGAAAGTATGATAAGTTTGGATTCTCCAAAAATAATCAGAAGCCAATAAAGTGTCATAAGCTCAGTAGAGTAAAACATAAGACGAAAATTGCAGCGAAGAACATGGGATGATGATCTATCAATGGCAGGTTGGTTGACTTGATTTTTACAAAGACTAAAAAAATGTAACTTAAGGCAAGCAGCAAGATATGATCAAAATTGTAATCCATGTTCAATTGCATGAACAGAGTCCTAATTTGTTTATGCTGCATACCAATATCTTCTCCAGAAAAAATTCTGGAATTTCTTATCTGCTAAGTGACAGTCACCTTGAAGTATCATGAAACATTCATCCTGTCGAATTAGAAAACTTTG